AACCAATTTTCGCCGAATGCAGCGCCATCTATCAAGAATCGAAAAAAAAGGTTTAGACAAAATTTACGTGTTTTTGGACGTAGAATTTGAATCTGCAATAAAAAGTAGGGGTTCCCATTTAAGGGGTTACACCAGTCTAGACAGTCTTGCGCAAGAGTAATTTCGGGAATTTTTTTACATGTAAAATAAAGTTTAAGATTAAAACTAATTTCATGGCTTTATTATACATATATTGTAGTATGAAAATTAATTTTTTTCGTGCATTTATCATTAAAAATGGCAGTGTGAGGGTCCGGTCACTGGATGGCTGCTCTGCGAGAGGTGCTCCGGGGCTTGCAGCATAACGTCCACAAATTTTATCCTAGAACAAAAAACCAAAAATTTCCTTATTTTTTATGAAAATAGCTAGAGAAATACGTAGGGAATTTTTAAAATGACGGTTGGTTTGGAAATGGCAAGCCTCTGAAAAAAAAGTCAATTTTTTGGCCAAAAATTGTATAGAATTGTTTATAAAAAGAAAAGTTTTAAACATATCGAAAAACGGCTACGTACTTCTGTGCAGAATTTAGTTAGTCGCAATTTGCCGCAAACTTGAAGTGATTTGGATGAAAATTGTTCGAGTTATGCTGCAAGCCAATTTGAAAAAAGTTGTTCTGAGAAAAACGCGTTTAAAGTTTCAAGTAACATTTTTTTTAACATAATGCACAAATTTTTGAATTTTAACCCAACGTACCTTTAGTCTGCTATACCTGCACCATAAAGCTGTCCTTCTAGGTTTAAATCTTCATCCTCTTTTTCTTTTCTGGTTGATTTTAATGATTGTCGGGCCTCCCTCGCAGCATAAAAGCGCAACACTTCACAATGCCATTGAAACCAATTCCTAATAAACGCATTGCTAATATAATTCGGCGACTAATTTCGTTTTTTTTTCTTTATCAATAAATGGACTGTTCGGAATACAAATGTTTTCACCTTTTTCACAAGAAATAACGATTTTAAACCCCAGGCCACGTTTAGCCGTCTCGGTGAACGACACATTTGTCCCGCACTTTTTACATACAACATTATCCGAAATAACAGAGAAAACAGCCACGAAATTAATTAAACGATAATTTATATTTATAATATAAATTATAATTATAAATATAAATAAAATTATAAAAAGAAATAAAAAACCGAACGATTGATTTACTTCAATGTCGTCGTTGTCCGCAGACATTCACAGCTTCTTGGCGGAAGTGCTCATTATCCGAACAGCCTTCCGCTTCATACCGGTTCATCGGCCGATGATGAGTCTTTAAGACCAAGTTTACCTTATTCTTAACACTATAAAGTACACTTTTAGCGAAAAAAAAATTTTGCATTATTTGAAAATTCTAGACTGGTGTAACCCTTTAAAATTTTAAAGTTGTCCCCCGCCCCACCCCCAGGGGTGGGGTTGGGGGTCAATTTTGGTATCATTCGATAGCTCTTTCAAAAATAGGAAATACGTATTTTTCCGTTTTCCGATCCACCCACAATTTCTCGCGATATTCAACCGTTCCGGGACGTTTAGACCACCCTGTATATATACATATACACATACATACATATAATATATATTATATATTGTTGCGCCTTCCGCGCAGTCGCGTTCCGCCGTATCCGCTCCTTGCGCTCGCGCACTCGCGTACTCGCGTACGCGTTCGCGTAAATGAACAAGAGCCGTGTGAGGAAGGAAAAAGGAAATCTTTATTACACAGAAAAAGAAGGAACAGCCCTCGAACGTCTGCACCAGGCAGGGGCCAAACTCGAAATCCCTTCTTTAACATGTTATAATAAAAACACAACCGTAACCAGGCAACTCGAACAACATCGAGGGAATTCGCCAAATCGCCAAATACCGGGCGTCCAATAATCGCGGGCGTAATACTGCCCCCCTCCTTTTCAGATTGTCGTCTCGACAATCAGAGGGGGAACAGTTCTCCGACCAGGCGAGAATGGGACTCCTGTCCTTTCCCCCTTCGGGATAGTACCCAACGGGATTTCCTGGGCAGAGTTGATCAGGGTCTCCCCCACCGGCTCCAGGGTGACTCCTTCCCGCGCCGGACTCTTGCTTAACAGGTCCGCTCCGCGTAAATTATTGTCCCCATAACGACAATATCCTTTGACGACCATCCCGACGACGACGACGACGACGACGGCAACGGCGACGACGACGAAAATGACGTCCCTTTAAGATGTCCTCCTCCAGGTCTTCAGACAAGGGGGGGGACTGCTTGTGGACCCCACGCCATTCAGGCTCCCCGAGTCCCTGCCCCAGCATTCGCTCTAAGCCACGTGGGAAAAACCACGGGCGGGGCAGTCTTCTAAAAAAAAAATTTCTTCCCACGACGGAAGGGCTGCGAAGACAAGGACCAATCTCCAGAAGTTCCAATAGTCTCGTCAACCTTCCTTTTAAAATGGATCCTGCGAAAAAAAATAAACGACAGCGAACACGGAAAATATCTCTATTTGATTAAACTTTAACTCAGATCTCGGGCCCAGACTCTAAACGAAACTAAATTTTCCTCTCCCTGAAAGGAGCTTGCCTATCCGAGTGCACAATTTTATTTCGGTGTCTTAAGGACTTCCGGATACAAAATACGACCTCACCAAGCTTTTTAACATGTAAGGACCTTCCCAATTGTTCTGCAACTTGGGAGCCCTCCCTATTTGCCTTCGAGGATTAAAGAGCCAAACCTTTTGTCCTTCTTGGAACGAGATTTGCCTAGCTTTATTATCATAGCGAGCTTTTACGCGAAAAGACTGCATCTTCAAACGCCTTCTAGCCTCCGAACCAATCTCTTTTAGTTTTACTCGGAGCTCTCTAACGTAACGCTCCATTGAGAAGGGTGTCTGCTCATGACACTCGGGGGGACTTCCCCGTAGAAAATCCAAAGGTAATCGAAGATCACGTCCCAAGTAAAGTTCAGCAGGGGTATAACCTGTCGCTTCATGCTTCGAGGTTCTATATGCCATGAGGAATATGGGAATCCAACGATCCCAGTCCTTCTGATTTGAAGAAATATATTTCGCCAGAAAATTAGTAATAGTCTGGTGTTGGCGCTCCACTTGCCCATCGGACTGTGGATGGAGAGGGGTAGTCCTTGTTTTCTTATTTCAAGTAATTTCATCAGTTCGGAAAAGAGCTTCGACTCGAAGTTTCTCCCTTGATCTGTATGAACTTCCAAAGGTACACCATGCCTAGAGTCGATTTGATTGACGAAGATTTCTGCAATTGTTTTTGCTTTAATGTTTTTCACCGGAAAGGCCTCCACCCATTTGGTGAAACAGTCCACTAGAACAAGCAAATATTTGTTTTTATTCGTAGTTGAAGGAAGAGGACCCAATATATCCAATTGAACTCTTTCAAACGGAGTCCCGACATTATAAACCTGAAGAGGAGACTTCCCCTTTCCTAAAGGGCCATTCCTTGAAATACAAATCTCACAGGATTTGCATCAATCTTCTACGTCCTGTTTACAAGTAGCCCAGAAAAAACGTTTCCGAATTATTTCAAGTGTTTTGTTGATTCCAAAATGGCCACTTGGAGAAGAATCGTGAGCTTGTTCAAGGATTTCTTTGATCCGACTTCGAGGAACAACCAATTTAAGGAGAACAGACTTCAAGTTCGGAGCGTACCATCTCTTATATAGGACTCCGTCTCTCAGACAAAGAGCATCCCAATAAGAGGAATAAATTCGAAAAGAAATATCCCCTATAACATTCTCCGAACATATAGGGCGCTCTCCTGTCTCCTTTCCAGAAATGAAGATCAATAAACTTGGATCTTCCGTTTGATCCTTACGCCAATCCTCCATGCTTTTTTTGGGAATAGTGATTCGAGCTACTATCTCACTTGGCTCTTGAGTACCCTTCAATTCGATTTTGGCGCAATATTTGCATCCGAGGGATTCACACGGTCGCCGAGATAGTCCGTCAGCATTTCCATGAGAACATCCCTTCCGGTAAATGATCTCAAATTCAAAACGTTGAAGCCTCTCCAACCATCTTGCAAGCTGACCTTCCAAATCTCTGAAGGACATCAGCCATTTCAAAGAAAAGTGGTCTGTGCGGATTAAGAATTTCCGTCCCAAAAGATAATGTCTGAAAAATTTGATAGCCTCTACAATTGCCAACAATTCACGTCGAGTAACACAATAATTCCTTTCTGCCTTATTTAGAACGTGGCTGAAATATGCAATAACTCTCTCCTTCTCTTCCTGTTTTTGGGAAAGAACCGCTCCGATACCGACATTCGAAGCATCGGTGTCCAAAATAAACTCTCCGTCTTCGTTAGGGAAAGGAAGTACAGGAGAAGAAGATAACACTCGTTTCAATTCATCAAATGCACTTTGGCATTCTGGCCCCCAAGAAAATTTCACCTTATCCTCTGTGAGCACAAAAAGAGGTTTTGCAACAGAAGAAAATCCTCTCACAAATTTACGATAATAAGAGCAAAATCCAATAAAGCTACGCAATTGTTTCTTAGTGTGTGGTACTGACCAGTCTTTCACTGCTGAGATTTTTTCTTCATCGGTAGTAATGCCTTCTTTCGAAATTACATGACCCAGATATTTAACACTGTTTGAAAAGAAAACACATTTTTCGGGATTAATCTTTAAATTTACTTCTTGAATTCTTTGAAAAATTATTCCAAGGTTCTCTAACATTTCTTCAAAACTCTTTCCGAACACTACCACATCATCTAAATAGACTAAACAAATTTTTGACAAAAATTCTTTTAGAACTTTTACCATTAATCGTTCAAAAGTCGCGGGGGCATTACACAAACCGAAGGGCATGACAGTAAATTGCCATAGCCCCTTTCCAATCGAGAAAGCAGTTTTATCTCTATCCGCTGGACGAATTTTCACCTGTCAGTACCCACTTTTAAGATCTAAAGTGGTAAACCAAACATTACCTGAAAGCTGGTCGAAAATATCATCTATTCTGGGGAGAGGATAGGAGTCTTTAATTGTTACCGCATTTAATTTTCGGTAATCGACACAAAATCTTAACGCCCCGTTCCTCTTCTTTACCAAGACGGCAGGGGAAATCCAAGGGCTTTGTGATTCCTCAATAACTCCTTGTTTCCTCATATCCTCTATCATTCTTTCCACCTTTCCACGCAATTGCAAAGGAATACGACGTAGAACCTGCTTAATTGGGGAACAATCTTTAAGATTAATGACATGTTCAAGGACCTCGCAGTTCCCTGCAACAGTCTCTTGAGAAAACACATTTTTGAATTTGCGCAAAAAGGCAGCAAAATCCTTCTTTTGAGAATCAATAAGGTTTTGAGAGTTCCTAATATAAAGTTCTTCTAAGACGGAAGGAACCCCTTGTGAAGACGTTTCTACACGAGCACAATCGAAAATCTCCTCATCAATGGACTCAGAATTATGAGAAACAGAATAAAAAATATTGGTCAAATTTATTTTCCTAAGGAAATCCACACCAAGTAAACAATCATCGGAGATCTTAGCCACATACATTGGAATCTCTAGAGAATATTTCCCGACTTGGACTTTTACCAAAACTTTACCTTGAAAAGAAACTTTTTCTACAGTGGGATATTTCAAATTGCAAACCTTTACTTGTAATCTCTTCTTTCCCTTCTCAATAAATTCTTCACTAACTATGGATATGTCAGAACCCGTATCTACCTTAATCTAATCTAACAAACAGAATCTCCTGGAATTACATGCATGAGAATCGTTTTCATTCGATACATCATAAAAATTATCATGAAAATCATCAAGATTTTTAACACATTTATCATTGTAAAGATTAACGTTTTTAACATAAGCAAAGTTACTCTTTGGGGCAATCACTTCAAAAGTTGAGTCTGCCCCGCCTAACTCAACTAAACCGAGTTTCCCTCTGAGGCCGGGCACTCGGATCGGAAATGTCCGAACTTTCCACAAGTCCAACACTCCTCGCGTTTGGCAGCGTACTTATTGTCGCGCCAATTCTTTCTTTGATCCGTTTCACTTTTCTTCCTCGTCGCGGGTTTATCATTTCTTTCACTCTTCAGTTCCTTTCCTCCCAGCGACTTCCCTCTTTCCTCATTCAAAGAAATTCCGTAAGTATCTTCTCTTTCCCTTCTAAAATTTCCACCCTGAATAATTTTAATGGCCTTAGCTCTTTCGACGGCCAAATTCAAAGACGAAATTCTTTCCAATTGAAGGGTTCGCCTTGTAAAACCATCATAGACACCCGAAACAAACTGTGCACAAGCAATTTTATCGTGAACGTCGTGGGGGCACTCCGCGTAAGCGAGGCGCGAAAGCCTCTCTAACTCTGTACCGTACGCGGTCAAATCTTCACCGAATCTCTGTTTTCGATAAATAAATTGCGTATAGCAATTTTGGGCTAAATATACCTCTCCGAAACGTAACTCGAGCTTAGACTTAAGCTCCGAAAACTCAAGATTCATCAAATCCTCGACCGTCTCTAAAACCGAACGCGCCTTCCCTCGTAAGCACGAAGCGAGTACCACGGTCTTTGTGGCATCTGCCCAACAGTTCGCACGCGCGATTAGTTCGAATTGTGAAAAGAACTCGCGCAACGAAGTGGTACCGTCGAATGTGTCGGGCTTTATTTTAAACCCGAGCTCCGATCGCGGATAATTGTTACTAAACGCGTTCGCGTTTGCGCTTCGCGTTTCGAAATCCCCGGCGGCTCTGTTATTGGACAGACTTATCTGGGAGGTCCGTAAAAGCTGCAGCTCCTCATCCCGTTGGCGAAACGTCGCTCGAAGTTCTTCCTCCCTTCGCGCCTGATCTTCGCGCATCCCGCGTATCTCCTGCAGCAGTCCTTGTAGGAATTGCGCCTCCATAACGGGCTCCGCAGCGTCCGCTGGGGGAGAACGCGCTCGAGCTCTTTTCCTCCTCGGGGCAGCCGTTGCTCGTCTTCACTCGTCCGATCGGACGAGCCCCCAATAAATGTTGCGCCTTCCGCGCAGTCGCGTTCCGCCGGATCCGCTCCTTGCGCTCGCGCACTCGCGTACTCGCGTACGCGTTCGCGTAAATGAACAAGAGCCGTGTGAGGAAGGAAAAAGGAAATCTTTATTACATAGAAAAAGAAGCAACAGCCCTCGAACGTCTGCACCAGGCAAGGGCCAAACTCGAAATCCCTTTTTTTAATATGTTATAATAAAAACACAGCCGTAACCAGGCAACTCGAACAACATCGAGGGAATTCGCCAAATCGCCAAATACCGGGCGTCCAATAATCGCGGGCGTAACAATATATATATTGCGGTTAGTCAAATTGATAGTATACACACACACACTACGAGCGTTTCATGCAGCTCGCGCCTGCGGTTGCGATAACGTCGGTACGCTTTCTCTTACGCTCCGGCTGCGCATCTTCGGTATTAAACAGATCGCGTGTCTCTCTCACGACTCCCGAAACACGTAGTAGATCGTTCGTTATAGCAGTGATCAATTGATGCAACATCCGATGCTTGGGATTTACGTTCGCCGAAGAATACAAAAATTGCCCTCGCAGCTTGGCGCGGTTCCACTAATTACGCTTATCCATATCTTTTATATCCTCGACGTTGTACATTTGTATACGAACCAAATGAGTATCCACCTCACCCGGTGTTCTCATGATATGCAATTTTCCGTTTTGCAGCCTCGTGATATTTTGCGGTATCGGCTCCACACCTTGATTCGCGACCGACTCGAGCAGTGAGTCCAACCCAGCGTCGCGCTCGTCCGCTTCAGTCTCATCCCCCGCGGCTATCACAGAATCCGCATTCAAGTTTTCAACGTACCGCCGATACTCGTCGATCTATTCATTAAACGTATTCTCGTTCATTATACCTTTCATGAGCTGAGCGTGCAACTCCTCCGGAGCGGTGTTTCTGACAAATATTTGCATTTACCGCTTAGGGCATATCGCTTCCATTGGACCTTTCACCACCAACGAGCCGTACACATCCATCAGAGTGCGTTTCATCTCCTGCCCCTCGCGCATACGTTGTGTGTTCTTTTGCACCTTTCCACATCTCGCCATGTAACTCGATATCATTGCGACCAGCAGTCTTACATTCCGCATCGCCGAATAGGATGATTCCCACACCTCGGTCATCAGGTCAAACAAGGTGAGATATGACGAATCTGCGTCGTTGTCGTCAGTACCCAGCACTATCAGCTCCTCGAACTCATCATCTAGCAATTGTGTAGCCTGTCCGTAATGATACGATTAAAAAATTGTAAAAAATAGTTTTTTACATCGCCGCTACGAACCTGTACGTTGGACATGATGCTCCGTCGATCTCGATCGATGTACGATGCGACCAACGCCCGATCGCTCGCGCTTTTATTCATCCTTCGTCGTCCGCGGGATTCGTGATGCGAAACCTCACGCACTTACACGGGAAATTGAAAATATATTTTACATTATGCAATATCTTTGCGATTAGATGTCTGTCTACGATGATAAAAGTTACTCATCGCCGCAATTTTCTCGATTTGTAGGTTATATCGATACGGTTACGCAATATCCTTGCGATTAGACGTCTGTCTGCGGTTTTCTATCGCCGCAAACATCTCGATTAGAACGGTATAAATTTATTGTCAAACATACGAGATTTATTATTATTATTACTCATCGCCGCAATTTTCTCGATTTGCATATCGGTACGTTTCCGGGTAAATGTGCATAAAAAGACCCCACCTGCCGATGACCTTGACCTTGTCATATGTTGTCAAGGTCACCCTCCTGAGTAACTCTTAGAAGTTTTTAGCCGACGGTCGTTATTCGTTAGAAAGTTATTAACAATGTATCCGCTATAAAATTAATACACATAATAAACACTAATTAATTACGAGCACTGTCTAATTCATTATGTATATACAGGGTGAGGGAAAAGTACCGGACCGGTAAAATATCTCGAAAAATATGGGAGATACGGAAAAATGTTTCAGACGAAAGTTGTACGGTTTTAAAAGGGCTATATAATGGTAAACTTAATGTTCCAAAAAAATTAATTTTTTATGATTATATGGAGGTCGCCGCCATTTTTTTAAATGGAACTCCCTATTGTTTATTATACTATTTTATTCTACTAATTAATATGAACAACTTTTTTCTGAAACATTTTTTGATTTGCCTAATACTTTTTAAGATATTCAAGAGAAAATTTATAACTTTTTCAATGTTTAGCTTATAATCTCTCGATAACTGTTTGTCGGAGGGAAAAGTAGTATAGGACTTTTTTTACTTGATTTAGTCTCAGGAATATGTTGTTGCAATGGTGTTTCAATTATTGAAAAATTTTGTGTATGTAAATTTTATGTGTTGCAATATTGGAACACTTTTACAACAGCATAGTTTTGAGACTAAATCAAGTAAAAAAAGTCCTATACTACTTTTCCCTCCGACAAACAGTTATC